GCCAAATTGCAGAGTGCTCTTTATTTTTAAAAAGGGAATATCTGTGGCTCTGTGCATGTACACAGTGCCCGGTAGCCCATGTTGGCAGTCTGCTTTGTCTTTGCCAGTGAATGGGTATCATCCTGTATTCTGAAAAATGCCATTGATTCAACAACTATGATTTATTGAAGACTTATGATGGGCCAGGCAGCCTGTCTCATTGAATCTCCCAGTGAAGGAGCCTTAGAATTATCCACATTTTACAGCCAGGCAAACTCTTGTTACTTCAACTCCATATTATGTGTTCTTGACCCCTAAATGATACAGTTAGCAAACAAAATCAGGGCATGTTAATGCCTCTGATGAAAGAAATATTTCCCTTGTTATAAACACAGAATCTTAGATGTCTGCAAGCCTGGCCATTTCTGGATACAGTGCCACCTGTGGGCACCAGGATCTGCTGCAGGGACAGGACAGGGCACTGGGAGAGAAGGAATGTGTGCTCCAAGCAGGGACCAGTGCCCAAAGACTGAGGCAGGACTGAAAGGGCCACTAGGTTTCTTGTGCTCTTTGCTCTGTCCTCTTTCTTATCACTTCAAAGATTCACAGAAATTTGGGAAATTAAAGTCCTTCTGGCAAATGCTCATGAGATTTAGAACCCCAGATAGAGAGTGGGGTGGCATTGTGGAGCCCTTGGATTTCAGCCTCATCTTCATCCCCAAGTGGATCTTATGGGCCCTAACAGCCCAGTGGGAATCCTTGATGCATCCTGTTGCCCTCATGGCCACACTTCAGGGACACTTGGTGGGCAAGGGACTGCTTGAACCTCAGTGTGAGAGATAGTGATTGCCCTATGTCACATGGGTGGGGCAAGGGGACAACCAGGGTGGTTGGGTAGAAAAGAGACCAAAGAAAATTTAGGCCACCCCAGAGTGAGGCATTTACCACAGTGGGACATGGCCTCTGGCAGGTCTGGCCAGCCAGGCCAGACACAGGTCCTCAGAGTGACTGCCTCCAGCCAGGACACAGGAGGGGCCAGGTGGGCCTCCATTTCCTAAAGCATCTCTGAGGGAGGACCCAGGCAATCTGCTAAAGGGCCCTCTGGGACCTCACACCTAGAATATTCCTTAATAAGGATACTCCCCCCACCCTGCTCCCCAGGAGGTGGGAAACACAGCCCTTCCATTGTGTTCAGCCCTTGAGGGAAGCCCTGTCACTTATGTCCCCTTCATACAGCTTTTGTCTCCTCATCTTGGCCTCCAGTTTCATTTTCCTTTCTTTTGGTTGCTCACCCAGAATCTCTCTGTCCCTCCCAGACCCCTCAGAATGATGGTCCTTCCTATTGCTGCTGCTTCTAGCTGTGTCCACTCAGCCAGGGTAACAGGAAGGAAGCAGGCGGGTGGGGTAGAAGGTATAGCAGAGGGGGTCCAGAGTCCACCAACAGTCCCAAGCCAGATCTGGGCCAGCAGAGCAAGGAAAGACTTCAGGACCACCTAAGTCCAGCCCCAGTGCCCAGAGAGGGGGATGGGTGTGTCCTGTCCCCAGCACCCCTCTTCCCGTGTTCCACACCACACAGTCCTTCTCTCCACTCCCCCTTGGCAACCTGCTTCCTCCTCCTGCAGAAGGCCCAGCCGCTTTCCTAGGAGGAAAGTGACCCTTGCTGAAGGTGTGTTTTTTTTATACCAAGAAAGAGGGACACAAGGTCCCACTCCTCCAGGCCAGTCTCACCCCCAGCTGCTCCTCGGCACCTGCCACACTCCCCTCTGAAAGCTCTGAAAGCTGGGCTGGCCTTGGCAGAGCCCAGGCCTGAGGTGGAAGACGGCCTGGGAAGGAGGGAGCAACTTCCTGTGGCATGATCTCCCCCAGGTTGTCATTAACCCCAACTATGAGGTCCCAGAATCTGACTTCTCCAACAACATCATGAAGTGCAGGAGCCGCTACGATGGCCACCGCATCTGGATGTACAACTGCCACATAGGTAAGGCCCCTGGGCTGCTCCCACCTCTCCTCAGGCTCCAGCCCACCCTCCAAGAAATGGGCAAGAGCAGAGGCAGCTTCCTCATCTGGGCAAAGAGCTTGGGGAACTGGGCCAGCACCGCATTCCCGGACTCAGGCCTGGGCTGAGACTTAGTTTTCACAGCCAGCCCTGGCCACAGAGAGAGGGTGGGACAGAAACAGCCGGCCCAGCAAGAACAGACCCCAGAGCCATTTAAGGGCTGGAGTGGAGGCCACCGACTTTATGCATCTGACCTCAAAAATGTGGGTGTCAACAATTTGTGGGCTCTGTATATCAGGTTTTCTTCTGTCAAGAATTACTTCTAGTCTCTAGTGGAGGCTTTTCCCTTGGATTATACGACCTGGGGAACAAAAAGAAAAGCAGAGTTTTCTCCTCTGCAGGAAAGTGATGGACCTCACTCTTGGTGACAGTAAAGATTAGACCACATTTATTCACACATACACTTGAGTTTAACAGGGTCCCTATATATCTGGTCCTGCTCCTGATGGGTGCTCAGAGGTGGCCTCAGTTCAGGCCCTCGGGGCTGAGCATCTAATTTGCCAAACTCTCTCCCCGATTCCCAGGTGGTTCCTTCAGTGATGAGACGGAACAAAAGTTTGAACAGTTCAGTGGACTCTTAAATAACCAGCTCTCGACGCAGTAGAGAAGGCTCCTGGTCACCTCCCGTGTTCAGGTCACAGCACATCTTCCCTGGGAGGACTAATCACCACAGCCTGCCCCGTGCAGACCCAGCTCAGGAGGAGGGAGCTCCCTCATTCACCAGGTGCTGCTGCCTGACCTCTGTGGCTTCGGAAGGCCTTGGGGGCTGGGACTTGTCCGAAGGGCTATGGGAGCAGTTCTGAGATCCAGCCTTACCCAGGACCCTGGGTGGTAACGCAGGCTGTCATCAGCTTGACCCACCCAAGCTGTGGTCCACCCTGAGTCTGGCACCACCAGACTCTGCACAGATCATATAGGACTGTTTTCTTCTCCAGTTACACGTGGGCAAATGTGAGCTTCTCAGCCCAGAGGTGGTCAGGCTAAATCCCATTGCTCCTTCTCTTAGGTCATTTCCAGCTAACTTGAATATCTAGACCTGTCTTCCAACTAAGCCAACTGCCTCTAGTCAATTTTAGTCACACTTATTAAGTACAGTAGTCCCCCTTATCCACAGGGCACATGCTCCAAAACCCCCAGTGGATGCCTGAAACCACGTACAGTACTGAACCCTATATATATTGTTTTTTCCTATATATACATATCTATGACAAAGTTTTATTTAGGCACAGTTAAAAGATTAGCAACAATAGTTAATAATAAAATAAAACAATTATAGCAATATGCTGTAATAAAAATTATGTGAATATGGTTTCTTTCTCAAAATACCTTATTGTACTTTCACCTTTTCACTTAAAGAAAGCACTTTATGGCTTCTTTTTGGCATATCCAAATCACCAGCATCATTACTTTTGTGACTTGAAGCCATTATTAAATAAAATCAAGGTTACTTGAACATAAACACTGTGGTATTTGTACAGTGGATCTGATAACTGAGATAGTTACTAACAAGTGGGTAGTGTATACAGTGTGGATACACTGGACAAATGCGCCTCCCAGGCTAGACAGAGCAAGATAGTGCAAGAGCTCATCATGTTACTCAGAAAAAGCATTCAATTTAACTTATGAATTGTTTACATCTGAAATTTTACATTTATATTTTCGGACCACAGTTGACTATAGGTAACAAACCACAGAAAGAGAAGCCTTAGATAAAGGAGGACTACTATATAGATGCCACGTGTTTTCTAAGTGAACTCAGAGTTGGTGCTTTCCCCCCTGCTCCCTCTTTCTTTCAAGGTACCATTATTATATGTTCACAATCTTTGAAACACAAAGTAACTTAGGGGCATTCAACATCAGGCATCTGAGCCTTTGAAAATATAGCTCAAAAGAAAAACCAGCCACTTGTGTGAGTCATCTTTCTATCGCTTCAATTCAATTGATCCCATTGTGTTATAACCTGGGTTTGGGTGATGAGAACACTCACCAAACCCATGTCTTATCACACTTATACCTACTTGCATTGTGGACTGAGACGACGTGCACCCAGATTTCGTCTAAACCAGTGTGCGCAGGCCCTGAGCTTCCTGTGTTCTGTTGCTGAAAAGGAGCTTTATAGTTTCACAGTTTCACACCATGCAGAGATGGCTCCCATGTCCCCCACAGTCCAATGTGGGATAACAATTGCTGCCCTCTGAGCAGTCCAGGGAGATCACAAAAATCTAGCCATGACCTTTCCTGAACTGCTTTTTGCTGACATTTGCCAGGGACATAGTTGTTGTGGGACGACTAGATTTAAAAAGTCACAGGCAGCTTCCCAAAGCTGGTAGAGAGCATGTGCATCAGCAGAGCAGGCGCCTGAGCCCTTTCCTGTGGCAGTGGGGTGAATAACACAGCCACAGTTAGGGGGCTCCCAAATGTAAAGGGTGTGCTAGGGCCCAGCAAATCAGGTCCACAGTGACACCAAAGCTTCAGGCAAGGACCCTACAGCACCAACTCTCACCCAAGCCAGAAGAGACGAGGGCACTGGGCCTGTGCCAGAACACCCTTGCATCTGTTCCTGCAAGGGAAGCAATCTCGGATGCATTAAGATCTCACCTCTTGGCTCTGTTAGTGTTTCTTTCTGCAAAGAGCCTGTTGTAACACTACCATGTAGCACGGGGACGAGCCCAGCCAGAGCCTTGGACCTGAGTATCACCTTGATTCAGCTGCTCTACAACAAAGGATCGCCGGCTGGCATACCTGACCTACTAGAGGGTGCTGGGCAGATGGCACGGAGCAGGAGCAACTTACCTCCCATGTAGGGTAGACTTTGCAAATGTCCCCCAAGGCCCAGATGTGATCCTCCAGGCCTCCTAGGGTGAGCTGGCCTTCAAAAGCCATAGGCCCATAGCATAGATGGGACTGCAGATGGCACAGCACCCCCTAGTGTCCTGCCGCAGACAATCACATTTCAAAGCAAACATTAGAACTAAAAAGCTTTTATTTCTTTTTTCCCTCAATTTGTGGAACTAGACCAAATTAAAGCCGACCACCCCACAGTGAAGCTCCAACGGTGGCACAGAGCTGTCCCGGCATCTGTAAAGGCTTGTGGTGTTAGGAGCTGGGGCCTCAGGGCGGCAGGGGACTGGGGACAGCAGGCCGCTCTTTCTTTCTGTGTTGGAGGCCCAGGGCCCGGGACACCAGCCTTCGGGCCACCGCAGCATCCGTCTGTGGCCTTTCCTTCACCAGACGCAAGAGCTCTGAAAGGAAGGCCCCACCCAGTGGGGGTACCTGGGATCAAGACTGGCTGCTTCTCCCAGCAACAAAGCACGAAGCTGACATCTAGTTACATGTGTGGGGCCAGAGGCCCAGCTGTGCCCACAGAAGCCCTCCTGCTTGTGAGAGGAGCTGGCCAAGTCTCCAGGCCTCCGTGTTCCAGGGTCCCTGTAGAATCCTGACCCAAACCTCTCATCTCTTGGCCACCAGTGGGGATTAGAGCAGTTAATCCTGTCCACCTCCCTGCTTTGTAGGGCCTTTGGGTGAGAAATCAAGTCAGGATGGGATGTCTGGTGGAGACAGGATATTTATTGTTCCCAAGAAATCTGAGACAAAGACCACATCACCTTCCTCAACACAGATGGCCCCGGCTGGTCTTCCCCCTAGGCCTGCTTTGTAGGCCACTACTTTGCAGTCATGGGAAACTGGCATCTAAAATCCCTACCCGTGTGTTCTCAAAGAGAAAATGGCAGGAAGTAACATTTATTTGGCACTTTCAGTATGCCCCTCTTGGCTCTAAGCAGGTCTTTGTGTTCCTCGATCCAAGCCTCCAGTCTATCACATACAATCTGCTTATTTTACAGAGGAAGAAACTCAAGGTGATTTGCTCAAGGTCAACCAGAATGAGTGACAGAGCCAGGGTCTCACTCAGGGCTGACCCCAAAGCCCAAATACTTTTCATCCCTGCAAGGTGTGCTTTCCATGGCTCTCTGAAAGGAAGACCAAGCTTCCCCTGGAGTAATGCTCAGAAGAGGCTGTGAAGGCAAGGGCAAACCCTGCTGAGCATGGCAGATTCCATGCTCTCAGGGCTACTGCCCTGGGCTCCCAGGCCCCCTGGGGCAGGATCAAGGTTCCATGGGCTGCTATACCCCTAAAGAGCAGGGAACTGAAAGAGGAGAACAGAGAGAGAAGGCCTGCTCCTCACCCCCAAACCAAACACACATGTGCACAGCCCCCCCACCCCCCCATCCAGGGACAGTGTGTTCTTACTTGGCCTTTGCAAGGCTTTGAGCTTGGACTGCTTGGTTCCCTGTGTGAGAGGCCGGATCTTGAGCAGAGGGAACTCCTTGGTCAGGGCATCAGCAGCTGGGGAAAGAGTGAATCTGGAGAAATCCCCTCCTGCTGCATGAGATCCCTGGGGCCCAGGAGTGCACAGCAGCTTTGAGCACCCAGCTCCGGCTTGGGCAGGACTGCTCTGCCACCACTCTGGCTGGATGAGAGACAACAGCCCCAGTTCACCTCATGCTCCAGAGCCCTGCAGATCTGCATGGGAGTGACTACCTGGGCTCTAGGTATGCCCTCAGCCCACAGGCAGGAGCCACAACAGCGAGGCTGTAACTCTCACATTGGGTGAGGCAGACTCTGCCTTTGAAAGCCCCAGAGCTGAGATCAGACTATCATTTCACCACTTAAAACCCCCCAGGGACACTTGCCCTCCTTGTCCCGGTCATGCTCCACCTCAGAGCACCTTCCCACAGGACACAGTGGGAAGACAGGTCCTTGCCTTCTGCTGCTTTACAGATGAGGAGACTAAGGCTGGGACATGGCCTGCCTACCCAGGCTATTTGTGACAGAGCCCAGAGCTCTAGCTAGTGCTGGGAGCAGAACCACACAGGCCCCTGGCTTGGCGTGGCCTGCACCTGGACATGGGTGGCCCTCCCTCTGGTCAGAGAGGGGACTGAGCCCAACACGAAGCCACCTTACCTGAGGCCAGGCAAGGAAAGATGCCAAGTGCGTGAGTGTCATCCACCCACTGAATCTTGAACCCCTTCTCCCTGTGTGGGAAGAAGGCACAGGAGGTTACAGAAGTCAGCGGCCAAGCCCTTTCCCACTGGATGCCATAGGAAAGTTCCCTCCCACCTGATCTTCGAGCACTGGGACCTCAAAACACCAACTGCAGCAAGCTTTCTCTCAAGAGCATGTGGTCAGCTTCAGAGAGACAAATACCACCCTATAAATCCATTAAGCAGGTCCCAGGGTCTAGCACCGAAGGAGCCAGGATCTGAAGAGCTCCTACAGCACAAGGCCAAGGGTGAAGGGGGATTCCCTGTAGGCACCATCATGGCCGGGCTGGGGGTGGGCCCCAAGGCTGGAGGCTAAAGGCCTCCATGGTGGTCAGGGAAGCAGGACCTGAAACAAGCAGGTCCAGGCACTCTCAGCCAGCATTCTTCCTATTGCTCAGGAAGGCACCACAGGTCTGTGCCTGGGAAAGACAGAAAGCAGCCGTCCCAGCACCTCTGGTGCACTGCCCATGCAGCTAAGGAGGTCACTGGTGGCCGCATCTGGCCACACCAACAGGGACGGATAAGAGCAACCATGCCCCTCTGGGCTGCCCCTCCAGCTCAGGCTGAGAGAGCAAGGGAAGACGTGTGAGAGACAGAGGAAGGACCCAGCAGGAAAGGGCTTTTAAAAGGCCCCCACAGGAAAAGAGAAGTGAAGAAAGGAAGAGGAGAAGGAAAAGAGAGGAGAAGACAGAAGTCGGGAGGTTGAATCCAAGGGAAATCAGGGTAACTGTGAAGTCCCCTCTGATGAATCCCTCTGGCCCCCGTAAGAGCATCCTGAGCCAGTTCCCCCAAAAGAGTTCCCACACTAAGATGACCCTTGGCCAGTTGAAGGGCTGCTACATCCTGAGGGACTGATGGCCTCCCAGTATCAGCAGCCGAGCCTATAACCAAAACCCCTGCTCTCCCTTGTCCCTTTCCCCAGCCACAGCCAGGTTGACCTGCCGGGGAGCAGGAGCCAAGACAACATGCCCACCTTCTGTCTTTCTTCCTGCAGAATTAGGTACTTGGGGGACGGGGGCAGACAACAAAGGGCTGTCCCAGCTCCTCTCCAGAAGGCAATACCATGCCTTCCCTGCCACCTGCTGGCACTCACTGGAACTCAGAGAATGTCGCCATCAGGTCCTCAGTCTTGAGCGCTGGCTCAAAGTCATAGATCTCCACCACGTGGGCAAATTCCTTCCCAGGCAGCTCCTCTGCGAAGGAGGACGTGTCCAGGTGGACCTTCTCGATCTGGATCTCCTTCTCAGTCAGCTTGTCTGTGATCTAGGAGCAATCGGACTTTTTGGCAAGGGGAGCTCAGACACACAGGGACCCAAACAACCAGTTTTAAAACCACCCTTGACAGTTCTGCTGGAAGGAGGGATCCCTGCTGGCAAGAGTCTGAGAATGATAACATGATCTCAGAGTGGGATGGGCCACTCAGGACTCAGGAGTTTTAGGGTGTGCACTCGGTTTGATGGAGTCCCCACTGGGAACTGGAACCTGCACACATTACATTTCACATAAGCCTGAAAAGTACCTTCTATACACCCCCTTTACAGATGGGGAAACTGAGGGGCAAAGAGTTAAGAAGTTTTGCCCAAAGTTGCAGTTAGTAAGAGACAGAGCTGGGAAAGTCCAGGATCTTTCATTCCCTTATTAATGATGTGATATGTAAGCGACTCCTTTCAGTCTGCATTCTTCAGGTTCAAAATAGCAATCCAGTATGCCCATCCTACCAACCAGCCCCACGGCCCACCTCAGGGACAGAAACATGGTTCCAAGGAAATATGATTTGAAGACAAAGCTCCAGGTAGAAGAGTGATTCTCTGTAGTGCATGAAAAGCACTTGCACTTTCTGTCTGGGACCTTGCAAATCTATTCCTTTTTATTTTCTCAGATGAGGAAACAGACTTAGAAAAGCAAAACGACAAGCCTGGCATCTACTAGCTCCTAAACGGTTGAGCTGGGATCTAAATGCACACCTCCACCCCCATGCTCCCTATCACCCCACACCCAGGCCTGAGCCACCCACACATCCCCAGCCCTCCACCCCATGACCCTTTGTCCCCATCCACCTGCAGCCACACCCACCTCACTGCCGCCCTCCCTTTTCTGGGCTCAAGAGCCTCATCACCTCCCGCAGCAGCTCACTGCAATCTTCCTCAGAGCAGCTGCCAGGCTCCTCCTCCTCCTCGGCTTCCACCTCCTCCTCCTCCTCTTCCTCCTCCTCCTCCTCCTCATCCACTGGGTTCTGCTCCAGTTGACTCCCATTCCCCTCTTCCAGGGCCGGCTGCAGGCTGGACCCAAGCTGTGTGGCAGCCTCCACCCCGCATCCCTTCCCTGATGGACTCTCGGGTCCTGGGGGCTCAGTGCCAACTGGCTCCGGCAGTGGCTCCTTCTCACAACTTTGGCCTGGGTCCTTCAGGTGCTCTGTTCCCTGAGTCATCAACATGGTGAGTCCCTGATGGGTATCAGGGTCCCCAGCACCAGCATCTCCAGGCTTTTCAGAGACCCCACCAGCTGGGGTCTCTTCCTTGACCACTGGGGTACAGGGAGCTGCCCATTCTTCTTGCCTGCGCCGCACCCGGGGCACATACAAAGGCTGGTCCGGCTTGCGTCCTCGATGCCATCGGCGAGCCCGTGCACCCCGGGAACCAGCAGCCACTGCCTGGCTGGGGGTGGGCCGAGGACCAGGGTACTTTCTGGTGTGGGAGGCAGGAGTGTGGCAAGGGCCAGAGGGATCATCTGAACTTGGTATCCTAGAGCAGGAACAGGAGGAAATGATCAAAGAATATTGGGGCCCACAGGAAAATGGCTGACTTGAGCCACCCAGACCAAACTGACCCTTAAAAATCCCTTGTGAAGAACATGGTGGAGGCAGAATGCCATCTCTCACTAGTCCAAAGCAGCCGGCTTGCCCTCAGTACTACTCTTTACATCAAAGATGGCTGAATGTTTGGTTACACAGTGCATAAGGCAAATACTTGCTTTTAGGAATTACGTTATTAGAAAAGCACATAACTTTAAACACTAGGATTAGAGTCACAATGATAAGATGCTCATCCTGTGAGATGTGCATGGGAATAGAGATGACTAGCAGCCTGGCAGGTGCTTCCTGTGCCATGGTCTCTCTGGGGCCCATGCTCACCAAGAAGAGGGGCAGACCCCTCCTCACTATTTACATTGTTCTTTATCTCATCTGGCCCAAATGAAAAATTGAATTTGCCAAGTGAGTTACACAAGTAAAGCATGTCAACTGCTGAAACCAAAGGCAGTACTATCTTAGGACTAGGTATGGGGGGCCTACACCCAGCCCTGGATCCTGCCAAACACCACCCTCCCAGGGACTGGCCAGGAACTGACTGCTGGGGACCCTCTAAGGCAGTAGGATACACACCTGATGTCCTGGTGACAGATCACTGTCCTCCTCTTCCAGCCCTCCCCAACAGAGAAACTGCTCAAGAGATCAAAATTCTCTGTTGTTCTATGGATCAGATACCGCAGGCGGCTGGAGACTGGGGGGAAAAGAAGAACCCTAGGAAGGGAACAGAAGAAGTCTTGAGCAGGTGCTTCTGGGACCTGACTCCTACCAGGTCCACTCCCAGGGTAACGGTGGCTTAATACCAGGCTCCTTCTGCCTCAATAGGCCCCAGGCAGGATGCAAAGGACCTGAACACAGGTACCCACAGGGAGTTACTGGTCCCACCCTCATTCTTGAGCAGGCCCCTTTAGTCTTGGGGTGATGCTCAGAATCACAATGGAAAGATGCGGCTGGAAGAGGCCAAGGGCCAATATATTAGGACAAAAGGCCAGGGCAAGCTGCCAGCCAGTTACATGGGTGCTGCATCCAGAGTAGGGGACAAACCCTGCCCTTCCTAGCATCAAAGGACCCCCTCACATCCCCCACATACTTTGACAGCTGCTTCTGCAGCAGGAAACGGTCCAGTTCCTCCTGGACCTGGTGGACAAAGTCATTCTCCGCCGAGGAGAGGAAAACACCGTCCAAGCAGAGAAGGGCCAGGGTGACTGATGAGAGAGCCTGTAGGGTGACAGACAGGGCCGGGGATCAGAGCTCAGGACCTGGGCCCGCCCACGACCCCGAAATGTCGGTGCCCAAAAGGTCTCAGATGCTTTCGGGCCCAGGGTGTCTTTTTTTAGCAATTGAGGAGTCAGGCTCGGAGGCAGAGGATTGCTGTGCCGGGTCTCCCCCGCGTCGGTGGATAGGCAGGGTCTCCCGGCGAGCGCTGGCCTAGCATCCCGCGCTGCGCTCGCTGGCTCCGGCTCACGCGCGCCGCCCGCAGGGGCTGCCCCGGGCCTGCTCCACGCCTCCAAGTTGTCCTCCCCACCCCGGAGCCAGCGGACGCGGGCGTGCGCCCCCAGAACCGCAGCACTCACCAAGGCCGCCCTGCGCGAAGCCGCTGCTGTCAGGGTCCACAGGGGCATGCGCGCCCCCGCTCGCCTGCTAAAGCCCCAGGCCTCCCCGGAGCCGCAGCGCCACCGCGCGGCCGGGGGGACGAATCGCAGGAGCAGCAAAGGGGCCTGTTCTTGTCACCTATGGAGGCAGGGACACCCCTGCGACTAACACAGACTTCACCGTCTTCTTCCAAAGGACGCGACTAGGTAATATATTCACTGGAAAACCTAGGCGCACAAAGGTGAAATGACTTGTCCAAAGTTGCACTGGTAGGGCTGGGGATGTGGCTCAAGCGGTAGCATGCTTGCCTGGCATGCGTGCGGCCCGGGTTTGATCCTCAGCACCGCATACAAAGAAAGTTGCATTGGTAGTGAATTCTAGAATCTTGCTTTGAGCAAAGGTGGGTCTGATTGCAAAATCTGTTCTGTATTTCCCCCCGTAACTATCTTCTAGAATCAATTAAGCAGACACTTTTGAGAGGCTACTGTACCCTAGATAGGCAGCACTAGGTTTTTCGGATTTTAGGTTTCCCTCCACAGGGAACTAACAAGAATAAAGAGGGAGCCGCTCCTGAGCACCAGGTATTTGTGCTTGCCTTGTGGGTAATTGGGCGGGGCCATCACTCGCATGATTTGCAGGTCGACTTATGTTGCCCTGCTGCATCCAGAAGTCATTCCTGTGCCCACCTTGATCAAATTCTTGCTATCAGTCTGTGGGGTGGACTGTTATCCTGTAGGAGACCAGGGTTGGAATCCTGACCTCTGAGAAGTGTTAAAATGTAAATACCTGGTCACCCTGAATCCAGAAATCCAGAGCCGCTCAGAGCAAAGCAGGGTCCTGAGTTAAGAGCCAACTGGGGTCCATGGGTGGGATACCCCGGGTGGGCCCTGCAGTCAAGTATAGGCAGGATGGTGAGGGAGGGCTGTCCCTGCAAAGGCCAACTGGGAAAGGAGACGTGAGTGTGGAGAAATGGAGAAAAATAAAATGCATTTTGGTTTCACAATTTTTCCCTAAGTATTTCTAAAAGAGACAGTGTTGCCATATTTATAAAAGCTGAATTTCCTGATATCTATCAAGGAGGATTAAAAACTTGAGCCAAGACAAATAAGTGCAGAGAGAAATTACAAGTATTCTTTCTGAAGTGTCCAACCTAGGGTCCTCCAGCACCGGGGACAAAGAAAGAACAGGGACACCATCTGCCTTCTGACTGCCCCCAGCCTCACCAGCTCTAAGCTGGCTCCACGGAAGTGGGAACAGACGGCAAGATGCCATCCTTGTATCTGACCAGGCTTCCTTGACTGCAGGTATGAAGCTGAGAAACAAGCCCACCTGGCTGCTAGAGACCAAGTAGGACCTAGCGAAAAGGTCCAGCCCGACTCAGAAATCAAAGGCCTAACTTTCTCAGCAAAATGGTCTTTTTCTCCCCCTAGTGGAGAAACAACACCACCCACCGCTCCCCCACCCTGGCCCGTCCCCCGTCAACTCGGGGAATCAAGCCACGCCCACCTCTTTAGAGCTGGCCCACTGCAGAGGTGTTCAACAAATTCCAAGTGTCTAAGTAGAAACAAAGTCCTCAGAGGAGGGCTGCCCATGACCCCCCATTTCTGTAACACAATACTTCAGGAAACTGAGAGGCTGAATGGGTAATACCAGTGTCCAGGCTCCTCCAGGGGAGAGGTCATCTAGGGATGCCTAGGTTGATAGGTAAAAGGATCAAAGTGCATCTGTGCACACAATTTGGGGGCAAATAGCAGGTGAATGTCTTTTGGGGACCATTCAAAGGTGAGCAAACAACAAGAAGCAGCACAAAGGATCTGTGGAATTTCTACAACAAGAGCCCAACAGAAAAAGGTGGAGGATAAGAGCATCTTGGACAATTCTGATGAAAAAGCAGAAGAAATTTTCAGTTAATAACTGCTTCATAATCCTCCAGGAAGAAAAAGAAAGTCTGGCATCCAACTTCCATGAAAAAGGATGGAAGGTACCCCTGAGAGCTGTGGAGAGATGTCGAAGACCTCATCGTGTGCATCCAACTGGAGTTGACACTGAAAACACATCTTGTGGTGGAGTTAAATGACAGTAACTGCTGTTTGCACAAGTAACAGCTGCACAAACCACACTCATCTAACTTGGGGTGGAATCCCTTTAGGTGATAGCTGTCACCCACAGAGCAGGAGGTTGCACCAAGTTAGCCCAGGGGTACCTGACTGTGGAGTGCAGAGTTAGCCTCAAAACCCACCTCTCACCTTGCTGCCATGCCCCTGCTATTAGACACCCCAAGATTAAGACTCTCCATCTCTAGAATGTCATCAGAAGCCTCTTGACACTGTGACCTGTAGCCATACATAGAAGTCAGGAACTTGATTAAACTACATGAAGCTGTCAGTGGGAGAAGCTGGGGGTGAGGAGCAGGGTTTCAGCCCAATTGGGAAGCATGATCAAAAAATGATGGAAGGAATGTCAGCATGTGACCTGGGGTTGCAAGTGGTCACATCTCAAGGGATGGACCTGGAGTCCCCTGCTGCCTTAGCAACTCTGAGTAGCAACCTGGGACAACCTCCCTTGCCTTGGGCAGGGGTGTCCCAGACTCACTTCTCCTGGCTCTGGCAACCTTGACGGGTCTGAGAAGATGCTAAGGGCACTGACAAACTCCTCTTCACATTGAAGTGTCTTTTTGAATGCCAGGAAGGTTAAATTTAAGAATATTCAGTTTATGTTTGTTATTTAAAGTCCTCATAATCTTTTCATGGCTTTGGCGTGCTTAGAATCTTTCAGGCACTGTGGGCAGTGATTCCAATTTTAAAAATGAAATGTATCTTGGCCTTGTTCTTCTAAATGGGCAGATGTAAGAAAAGTTGACCAGATTTGTAAGAGAACCAATCTTACGATATTTTAAGATCTGTAAGAGTTGTTTAAAATCAGCACATTTGCTTCGTGGTCTGCTGGGTGGGTTATTTGTTTAAAGAAAATGAGAACTTCTGAGAAGATGGAGCAGACATACTTCTCTCTGTTCTTCCCCCAAAACAACTGAAGAGCCTGGACACTAAATATCAAAGAAGCTTAGCCAGATCTCAAAGATAGAGAGAAGAGAGCCTGCCAGTCAGGGCCTTGGGAGCCAAAGAAAGATAACGAGATAAGTTTCCTGAATTTTCTTTGTACCTCAAATCCCCAGGCCTGGAGATTCAAGAAGCCAGAAACTCAGAAACACCAACAGACACAGACCAAAAAGCACACACAAAACAAGACCTCAACAAAAGACCTAAGAGTGGCCTAGCAAGACAGAAAGCTTTGAGAAAAAGATTTCTCTATGACAGCCATACCCCTCTGCCTGCAGGAAGGAAGGTCAAGTGAGGAACCTGGATTGTCACCCCCAGCTGGTGTCACGAGCATCACGCCTTCCCACCAACATGACATTAGAGAGGGCCAAGTTGGGACCTGGGACTGTCATCCTCTCCAGGCAGAGTTACTAGAGACCTGTTCCTCCACCCTCTATGGTGCTAACAGAGGGTGCTATCAGGCCTACTGGACAGGAGGACTTCTATCATTGATCAGAAGCCACCCACCCGCATGGTGTCAGTGGAAGCCACCCTAGCAGCAGCAGTGTAGCACTTCTCCCCCACCTAGCCAGGAAGCTCTGTAACCATGACCCAACAGTGACGAGGACCCCCCTCCCACTCAAGGCTGAAGGGAGCGGAATGGGTAGCCTAGACTTTAGCAAAGATAATAGGAGGAAGAAAATACATAGTGAGCAGAAATCAACAAAACAGCAGAGAAAATCAACACAGATTTGCTGGCTCATTGAAAAGATCAATGAAATTGAGAAACCCCTCACAATAAAACTGACATGGTGGGGGAAAGAGAAGACACAAATTAGTATTATGAGGAATAAAACTGGGGTTATTGTTACAGACCCTGCAGGCAGCAGATAATAAGGAGATACAATGTACAACTTTGCACATATATATTTGACAACTTAGTGGAAAAAAAAATCCTATCCTAAATGTTACTTAGTCTATCTATATAAACTTTTGAAAGAGCAATATTTTAAACATGGAGAAGAGGTTAGTGGTTGCAAGGGTTAGGAATAGGGGAGGGGGGGGGAGGGGCGTGACAATGCAGGGAGAAGAGGCAGGAGGGAGCAGGCATGACAAAGGAGTCACACAGGAGGAACCTGTGCTCCAGCCTTGCACAGTGGTGGTGCATACAAGAACCTACACATGAGATCCACTCTTATCAGGCTAAGCACACATACGCGAGTACAAGTCGAATGGGAAAAATCTGAAGATTAGCAGATTGTATTGACATCAATATCTTGGTCATGATATCATCTTAAAGCTTGCAAGATGTTACCACTGGAGGGACGGGGTAAAGAATATATGAGATCTCTCTGTATTATTTCTCACAATTGCACATGATTTTACAACCATCTCAATAAGGATTTCAATTTAAAAAGGGAAAACAAAATAGATCAAATTTCTAAGTGCAGTTGAAATATCTAATAATGATAAATATGAGGGAAACTAGAATCAAAGTTTTAAGTGAAAATTGTTTTGTAATCTTGAACTATAGTTGTTCTCATTTTACATGAAATACATTAGATATGTAAGCAAAATTATCACATTTGTTAATGAAAATTTAAAATTTAATGAAAACTAGGTATTTAAATTTGGTATTTTCATAAACTAATATAACTTTAAAAATCTAATTATAAGAAGTCTTTTGTGAATAAGTCACTCCCAGACATTAAAAAAAAAAACTTACATAGAAAAACTACATGAAAATCAAAGAAAAAGGCAAAGATATTAAAACAATTAAAGATAGAGATGCACAGGCCTGGAGATTTAATAAATGAAATAATTGAAACACCTGAGAAAGAAAATTTCTGGAACAGGACAAAAATAAAAGGCAACAATATTTTCTTTAAACAGAACAAAACATGAATCTAGAGATTAAAATGTTGTTCCAGAAAATAGTGAGGCAGATTATGATTTTAAAAAGGTTATTTCATGGGGGCTGGGGTTGTGGCTCAGTGGTAGAGCGCTTGCCTGCATGTGTGAGGCACTGGGTTCGATTCTCAGCACCGCATATAAATCAATAAAGTCTATTGATGACTAAAATAAATTTTAAATAAAAGGTTGTCTCATGATTGTGAAAAAACTGTAGCTATACAATGATTTAGGCATAGTATTAAGGGGAAAAATCAGTAGCTTGTAGATTTTCCTAGCAACTCATGCCAGAAGAAAAGGGAATAATATCGGTAGAATTTCAAAGGAAAATATGAAGACCAGAAATTCTATAGACTGTGACGTCAGTGGAGAGGTCTTATCCACCTGCGGTGGCCCTGGAAGTCATCTCTCATAGAGTGTCTGCTGCAGGATGTGGCCTGCACTCCATTTGCAGAGAGCACACGTTCCTGCACAGTTCACTTCTCCAGACTTTTTGTAAAATCGCAAATATCTGAAAAGTCCTCTATTTGAGAATAGATTGCCCAGGCTGGCCTCTTTGACAACCTTTAGTTCTTCACCTCAATTAGAAAAAGAAAATTCTCTCTTCCTAGCCTGGCATCTTTCTCTCCCTTCACCTCTCCCCTCTTTCATTCATAAATGGCTCCCCTTCCCCAATTTTGGCCTTAGTTCATTGATTAGAACCTACCAAGTGTCTCTTTTTTCCATGTTCTTGTGAGTCAGTGTTATGGTCAGAATATGGCTTGTTCCTCCAAACTCACATAGGAGTTTAATGTCCCACATCTTATGTTAATGGTATTAAGAGGGTGAAAACTTAATCAGATGGTGGCGTTTAGAGGTGGAACCCTTTGGAAGAGTTAAGATTAGATTAGATTAGATCACTTGGGTGTAGCCCCTATAATTGAACCCAAGTGACTATAAGAAGAGGGAGAGAGACACACACATTCCCATCATGGTGTGATACAGCCAAGGGGGAACTCTTACCAGAACCTGAATCATGATGTTTGGGATTGCAACCTCCTAAACTTTGATCTATATAAATCTGTTTTCTTTATAAAGGGTCCTACCTATGGCATTTCATTATAGTAATGAAAAGCTAGATAATAGAGTTTGTTTCCTAATTATTTCTGAATTATGATTTGACATTCATCATCCTTTCTGAAAAGCTACTAAAAATCATAGGCCTAATCAAGAGATGAATAAAAATAAATGACTCACAGACTTGAGTCTCATGAGAGACAAGGCCTATGATGAACATTTGATTTACTTGGAACAGATGAACTGATGTAATCACAGCAACAAAATGGCATACACACATAAATCTCAAAAAGAAGGCTATAGATGTAAAAAACACAAAAGCATTTTTCATCATAACAAATTGGGGCAGAAACTCAAAATAATTCTACAGTGTAGACAGGAGAGAAGGGCATATAACCATGCCCAAATCAGTAAGTGCTCTATTTTTTCCTAGTAATTGGCAGAAGTTAGGCAAGTTTGTTAATAAACTCAACCCTCAACTATATAGAAAAACATAACAATGGCAGGATGAAAAATCTCTTTAAAAAATCGGTCATAGAAGTAACACCTGACAAAGCTTTTTCGACAAGCCATAGGTGGGATAGTAGAATTATATCAAACATTAAAATGTACTCAAAAAGCAAAATATTATCATATGTTCTTTACCCAACTCACACCTAAAACAACTCTGCAAATTCATTAAAGGATCTAAATGAAAGTTAAATGTGCTGTGCTAAAAGGGAAGACACTTGAAGTGCCATCTTAAAATTTGGGACTAGACAGGGGTATCTCCCAAAGCCTCTGCCATTTGCATTGTTCCAGAGGTAGCACAGGAGCAGGTGACAAAGGGAACAAAAACTGGAAATCTAGGAGCTTGATGGGATCTGATTATCTTTGATTGCAGTTGTTTTAACTAAAAATTCAATAAAACCAACTAAAAATTTTCCCAAGTAACAGCTGTTCCCTGGGGACCCTAGGAGTAAAAAAAAAAAATAATAAGGCAGAGTCAGGCAGAGGTGGGAAGGCTGTCGAGAAGGGGCAGAAGTAGGAAGCAAGCTGTGGGACAGGGGGGGATGGGGACAGGAGGGACTAGAAGGAGAGGGAAGGAGTCCCCTCGCCAGGCCATGCTCTACCTGATTGGCCTCCGCATGCCCTTCCCCAGCTGGGGAGGCCCCCACACACCCCTAGATCTCAGGTGCTTTTGTTGTCCCAGTTCCCAAGAGACCATAGCCATAGTCTTGGCTGAGTTCTAGGCTCTTCTTAAAGGGCCGGAGTAAAAGAACCCAAGATGGGGTCAGAGTTCTCTCCAGAGGGCTGCAGGGCTCAGACCTGTCCCCATCTCAGCCTCCAAGCTTCTGCTGAGATCTCCTTAAAACAATATGACTTTTCAGATGTTGGACACTATGGTCATCCCTTGGGGTCCACGTAGGGTGGGTTCCAGGATCCCTGTATATCCTAATATCTGCAGATATTCAAGTCCCTTATGTAAAATGGTGTAGAATTTGTGTAAAACCTACATATATCCTTCTGTATATGTAAATCATCTCTAGATTACTTATAAGAATGAATATACTGCAAATGCTATGTAAAATGGTTATTATATTCTATTGTTTGGGAATAATGACAAGAAAATGTCTATACATGTTTGGTACCGGTAGAATTAAAAAAACAAAAACGTTTCAATCTGCAGTTGGTTGACTCCTCCTTGGATAGGAGGGATGGCCTTACCTCCAAGTCCAGGTTTGTTTTTCTCTGTCCAAGAGTCAATGTCCCATCAGTCTGTTGTCTTGGTGTCTAAAGGGGATAGAGGGAAAATGAATGTCAGAAATAAATATTAAGCCTTTGTGATGACATAGGAAGTGTCTACATTTAAAAGTTTAAGTTATGAAAAAAAATGACACAAAATCGATCTCATCTGTTTAATAGACAGCATCAGAAAAAAAAATAGAGAAAGAAAGTGACTAAAATGTGGGCAGTGTTGTTATTATGGATTAAAATGTGAGTGTTGTTATTATGGATTTTCTCTTTGGGTTTCTGCTCTTCTTACACAAAATCTCCTAAAACATGTGTATAGAGTATATTTGGTAAGGTTCAGAGTGCAATAGATGTCTTGGTCCATTCAGGCTGCTGTAGTAAAATACCATAGACTGGGGGGCTTTAAACACAAACATTTCTTTCTTTCTTTTTTCTTTTTTAACTACACGACAGCAGTGGAAAGCATTACAATTCTTATCACGCATATAGGGCACAATTTTTACAAACATTTATTTCTCACATTTCTGGAGGCTGGAAGTCCAAGATCCAGGTGTGGGCGAAGTTCTGCTTCCTGGTTCTTTGATGGCACCTCCTGTGCCTTCAAATTGTGGAAGAGGCCAGGCAGAGCTCTCTGGCTTCTTTCTGAAGAGCACTGATCCATTCACGATGCAGAACCCCCAGGACCCAATGGCCTCCCCCAAACCCCTCATCTTTATACCACACCTGGAGGGTTTGGAGTCCACCTAAGAATTTGGGAGGGACACAAAAAATCCCGTCACAGTAGTAGGTATGTCTTGGTTTCAGCTCCCCAGTTCCCACGGGTCCTGGGGCTCATCTCTGACTCTTGGGTAGCTGCAAATTTATATGTCCTTCTGTTTCTACACCGTCCACCTCAGGGCAGCCATAGAGCAGCTTGTCTGGGTTTAGGTTCTCTTTGTTTTTGTCCCCTTGAGATTTATTCTTTTTTCTTGTGATCTCAGTTATGCATTGTTTCCCCCCAGCTTCTTGAAATTGAAATATCTTGTCCAAAATAAAACCTGGTTCTTAACTGGGTGCCCCGGGATGGGGTAGAGGCGAGCACAGACCCTCCCTCCAAGAAACCTCCCACAAAAGAAGAATTTTGCAAACCATGTGGAAATGTGAAAATGAATTTTGTGATAATTTTATACAGCATGTGAAAAAAAAAAAAAAAAACCCCTAATGCTAAAGAACTTAAAAGACGTACAAGCCAAATGCAAGAACGCACCTTTGGGTATCCAGATTCGGGCAGAGGAGTGCAGAAAAGACATGCTTGATAAAGTCAGGGATATTTGAATACGTGTTAAGCATTGGGTGTTATGAAGAAGTGTTCTACTTTTTAGGCATATTTATGGATATTGTGGTTACGTTTTTTTATCTGTCAGAATTCATTCTAAAGTGTGCATGGGTAAAATGATCATAATGCCATAGATTTGCTTTAAAATGCTCCTGCTGGGGAGCAGAGCAGAAAAGCTCAACAGAGTGGAACAAGATTGGCAAAATGTTCATAATCATTGAAACCAGCGACACGAACATCACTTCTCTCTCCTATTGTGCATAGTTGCCATTTTCTATAAAAAGAAGTTCCATTATTTTTTTTTTCAGGCCATACTAAAGTTCCTAGAAACAATAGTAAGACAGGTGGGCTTGGTATTCAGTGTGTGCCTGAAACATGTTTAGGTCCTTGTTTAGGGAAAAAATAGAGGCTCAGAAGAATTTTAGAAAAATGTATAGTCAAATCCACATGTTCAAAATCTGAGGTAAATATTGAAAGACTAGAAACATAGTCTATAGTTTCTAAGGCATCAGAGGAACAGAGTAAAGATACAGAAATTTTATTCAACATAAAAGCACAAATGAAGAATAATAGAAGCAAAGGTAAAGGACAAGTGACAAAGTGGTTTAAATAAAGAAAACCCATACTTTAACAAAGCAAAACAAAAGGAGTAGCAAGAAAAGTATGTGCAACATTTAAAAAAAAGAATGATGATATGAACCCCAGCCCTCCTTTCTGGAAATAAATTTGCAAGCAGAAAGTGGACTATATATCCTAGAAGAATTGGGTGAGAAGAAGTTTTCATGGAAACCTAGACTCTCCTTTGCTTAATCCTTTGTGTCTTTATTTATTTATTTTTCCTGGTGCTGTAGATCCAGCCCCGAGCCTCTTGCCTGCCAGGAAAACACCTCTTCTCTATCACTGAGATATCTCCCCAGCCTTGACTTCACCTTCTTACAAATCAACATTTGATTTTGCAAATTTTAATACTTATTTTAACCTGAAGTCCTTCAACAAAACTCCAAAGAAAGAAAGAGACAAAGAATATTTTTAAATGCATATAACAATTCCTCCTATACAAGTAGTATTGAAAACCAAATAAGGTATAAACTCTGCTACCAGACGTTGGACATAATTACTGATGAGAGAGAGGAGTCCACAAGTGAACAAAGACGCAGAAGTCACCTGGAGGCACAGGCCTGGAGGTGACAAGGCCTCCAGAACCCACTAAGAGGTCACACGTGTTGAACTGGTGTACTGGGCACCAGGCTTCCGTGCCTGCTACCTAACTCAGCTCAGTTAATCCTAACACAGTACAAGTGGGAGGTTAGTACTACTGTCGTCCCATTTTATAGATGAAGAAATTAAAGTACAGTGAAAGCAATCTGGCCAACTTTGCAGAACCAGCACACAAACCAAAGCACTTGTCTTTTCTTGTTCCAGAAAACCCAGTTCAATCACTCCCAAGAGTGGAACCAAGGGTACCTGCTGCCCCTCATTCACTCAGTGGTGGAGCAGTGAGCCAGCTGTGTCTGCTGGTAGACTGCAGAGTCTTTGTCTCTGGCCCTAATCAGGACCCCACCAAATTCATGTCAACCTTTCTGATGTGTCCTGAATACATTCATCACATGCAGGACTAAGAGAAGGCTAAAACCTGCTCCCTGCCTCAAGGGGCTTCTCTAGGTGAGAAGTCGGGCATTAAATAATTCCCACAGTCAGATAACAAACCAGGTCCTGCCCAAAACAGGAAAAAAGGAGGGGCTGGGCAGTTGGGGCGGGAGTGGAGACAAAGTCAGCACCAGTTATAGTGGTGAGGACAGACCTTAGTACCCACCATGGTGGCAGGGAAAAGTCCAGTGTGGACTGAACCTCACCTGAGTTTGTACAGAGCGGCTGGTGTTGTAAAGGAAGAACGTGGAGGAGGAGGGGGTGAGCTGGCCACAGTAAAGCCAGCGAAGTGCAAAACTTTAAAAAGCAGATGGCAGTGGATGGTCCATGTGAGACAAATGGTTAGAAACGATACTTGTCAAAGTTAGGCTGCTGCTCTCCCACATACACTGGAAAGCAGGGGACCCCACCTTCAAGTGTTGGCTAGAAGAAACAGTCAATTCCTGGGATGGTCTTGAGCTTTCCCATGCAGGTCCTCTTAGTCAGTCTGGAGTAATCTTAGGGATGGGGCTTGCGCTGTTAGAAACCTTGTCAGTGTCTGTTCAAGTCTTCACAGGCCCAGGCAGCGGGTAGGGGATGAGAGGACTCACAGGGCCTGCCCAGAGTGTGTCAAGGAGGGATTCTGGTGAGGTGTGGGAAGATAGGACAGTTCTGCTGAAGTGGAGCCAGAATAGGACCTTGAACTCAAAGCTGGGGGAAACTTCAGGCTTCATTTCTCAGTCTCAGGCCCCATTCCCAATTCCCAGAGCTCTTTCTCAAGTACTCAGGGTCCAACTGGGTCACCAGAACCTGCTACAAGAGACAGAGCTGGTAGATGGGCGTCTTCAGACCCTTCCAAGGCCACCCAGCCTCCTGCAGTCCAGAATGGGCCACTGTGATCTCCTGGCTCCCTCTGCACACCCTCCTCTCTTTATCATCCATCAGCCTGGGCCGGTACTATTGGCCGGCCAGGTGCTGACTGGTCAAGAGGCCCCAGACACTCAAGTGGGAGCGTTGGATCCTCCCAAAGACCTTTCACAACTGCAGCATCTTCACAACCATCAGCGCATGCCCTTGAGGCAGGCTCAACAAAATTATCCCTTGGATCTTTTTTCACACAGAAACAGGTTCTGCAAAGGCAAACACCTTGCCTCACCTCACGCCTCCAGAGCCCATGGAGCCCACACTCAGCCCTTCTGTCTCCTGACTGCTCCAGGTCACCTTGGCTCTTCCCTGCACACACAGGAAGGTGAGAATGAGGGTAGCTCCAAACACGCACTTACCACAGTGACAGCGACTGTCCATCCCTGTCCATGGAACAACAGGCTGGGAACACACGTTGGTATTTTGTACCCAAAAGGAAATCCGCGCAGCATCATTTAAGGAAGCAGACCCTAGGGAACTGATTAAAACAACCCAAACTGCAGGTGTCCCATTGTCTAAATCTGCCTTCTGCCATCATCTCAGTATAGTATAGAGGTTAAGTGGTATCAGAGCACTTCCAGAATGACCAGTGTGTGGTGGTTCCAGGAGGGGGTGCCCCAGAGGGGACTCACACCTTACTGTATGCACCCCTTTATCCAGCTGTTCAACTTTGTAACACCCTTTCATAAATGATTAGTAGCCAGGTCAGATAGAAATTGTGGGTAACCAGGGAAGCTACTACTTGCAATCGTGTTTGAAGGTGGGGGCAGTCTTGCAGGACTGCAGCCTTAATCCAGAGGTCTGTACTAACTGGTTAGAGTCAGAAGTGAGCAAGTTGTCGGGGAGCCCTGCTGGTGTTGGAGAAGTGGTAGTTGGGGCATGTCTGGATCGGGAATGTTCTGCATTGACTGTTCAGAGTATCATAGGAGAAAAGGTGGGTTTTGTTTCCAACTATTCACAGACTACCCTGAGGTGACTGCACCATGTGTCCACCCTCGCCTCACCAGCACCATCATTGATCCATTACCATTGTCACCACCACCACCAATACCAATCCCCAGTGGTAGACTGAGCTTAGAGACCATATGGCTGCTGCAACAAAGGACAGGGGCTGCAATGCCTCCACAGAATTCTTTCTCTACCTGGTCCCCGTACACACCCAGCTCCCCTTTAAGTCACCCTGCCCGCTTCCCTGTCTTCAGTCGTTCATTCTGCGGTGTATGTGAGGCAGTGTGTGGTGTACTCAAAGAATATGTGCACATAAAGCTTGAGCTTTAGCTGTGCATAAAAAACTTTGACCCCTCTTTAAGAATTTAAGGAATGAGGAAAGGTATTTTGGGGCAGGAGCTAGATGCCCTAATAGGATTTGGGATGAAGACTGCAATAATGTAAGATGGAGAAAATTACAGCAATGAAAGGGAAAAACCTAGAAACAGTCTAGAGAATTAGAATCCAGAAACATACTATGAAAGGGTCCTGCACACCTCACAAGGGCAGACCCCCATCACAGAGACATCAGTTTAATTCACTCAATATCAATACAGTTTTGGCCTCCCAGCCGCCACACAGGAGTCCCCTGACATCTTGTGGGAGTGGCAGCAGTGATGCCCAAGGACAAGGAGGTACTCTTCGGGGCTTCATGTACCTCACCCTCTAGGACCAGGAGAGCTAAGTGTAGATTGGGGGCCACTATTGGAGAAGTGGTGGCCCTCCTCTCTGGCAGGAAAGGAATTTGACTGTCTCCATCACACCTCAGGGTTGAGAGGAAAGCCTGGCAAGAATTTCCTGTTAAATGCAGATCACATGATTAGAGCCTGAAACCTGCCACATTCCACAAAGGGCGTGGTCTCCCCAGTGCAGGGTGGGTGCTCAGGGCCAGCAGCAGGGCAGACACCTGGCAGCTCAGCCTCAAGGGCAGCCAGCAGCATACTAGGACCCCAATGAAGATAAACTGTGATTTTTTTTTTTTTTTTTTTTTTGCACCAGGGATTGAACCCAGATGTGCTGAACCACGGAGTCACATCCCCAGACATTTTTATGTTTTTAGCAGGGTCTCACCAACTTGCTAAGGCTGACTTTGAACTTGCAATCTTCCAGCCTCAGCCATCCGAGTCCCTGGGATTACAGGCTTGCACCACCAGGCTCCACAGAACCCTGGTCTTTTGTGAAAGATGCTGAATCAAGGGTTTTCTAGCAGCCAAAGAAAAAGAGCAACTAAGGAGGCCCACCTAGTCCAGGTCACTTCCTTACAGCCTAGTCCCTGCCCCTCAGGCTTCCCTGCACATTCCCTGCAGACTAACCTCTCTCATGAGGTCCCAGGCCTTCGGCTCCCCAGGCTACTGCTCCTAACACCTTTTCCCTGGCTGCCTCACCTGCCAACTTACCTGGAGCTGCATGTCCGGTGTCCTGACAGGCCTCAGGCTGGCTCCTGGCTGCACTCAGCCTTTAACCTGTGCCCCCCTCAGAGCATGGCAGATATCTTATGCAACAACCAGCACTGAGAAACGTCAGTGCCAGACTATGACATGGCACCATCACGTGGGCAGAAGAATTAGGTCATTCACCTAATGTAGATGAGGCTGTGGAAGACAAACATGACCCACGGATGGACTGGCAGCACACTCCACAGCCAAGAAGGCCAACCACAGAACCAGTCCCGCCCAGGGCAGCAAGGACCCATGAGGTCAGCCAGTTAGGCTAACTGGCTGTCCTGCAGCTTAGGGCTCACATTCCCCTGTGGCAGTAGGTGGAAGAACCAAAGTGCAGCTCCATGGGGAGCCAGGGTACGCAGGAAGGCACAGGAAACTTGATACGACCTAAAGAAGAGACAAGGACAAACACTGGGGTTTTCTCTTTTAATTATTTACCAGATAAAAAAGAAGAAAATAGTGATTGTTTCTCTTCACCCCCAACATTTCCGGTTACCAAGGTGGAGTGGGAGAGAAATGCGTTGATCAGTGATTGGAGCTCCTGGCCTGGAGCCAACTCCTCCACCCCAAGCAGGAGGGGCAGGGCAAAGGGTCCGGGCAGAATCCTTGTACCTGGGCAGCAGAGTGGCAGTGTGGCAGTCATCTTCTCTCCTCCTTGCCGGAGCATTCAGACCCTCTCCTGCCTGCCGCTCACAGCCCCTCCCCAACTCATCAAAGGAAGTGGGAAGATGGGACCATGAGGGGCAGGGACAGTGCAAAGCAGGGCCTGGGGAAGCACATGGCAGATCCGGCAGAGGGCCACAGCCGCCTGCTCCTATTGCACATCCTGGCTCAGATGCCCACCCTGAGCAGTGGTCTATGAAAATGCTTTCCAGATTTAAACAGGGAGTCTGTTGGTGTGTGCCAGGCTCAAGAGGGGAGGTCTGATATTGTGTGGAAGTTTTACCATGATGGGGACAAAGCAAAAACTTTGCGTCTTTAAAAAACATGGGCTTTAGACAACTCAGGAGCTCTGTAGTCACCTGGGCTTTTCCCCACTCACGTTTAAAAGAGCAAGAATAACCCTTCCCCAACAGCAGACCGTCTGCATACCATGGAAGAGGCGGTGTTCACCAACCACAGCAGCCCCCCACCAGCTGTCAGAACCCTGAGCCACTCAAGCATAGCCTCTTTTTCTGAACACCTGGAGAATCTGACAACCCTGGGAAAGAAATCTTGTACACTGTGTGTTTCTCCACGAAGCAGCTGCTATTAAGTCCCCCCAAATAAATCTTGTATTTGATTTTCATTTCCATCACCAGTGAAAATAGAATAGGACAGGAATAAGCTGTTTAACAGACATTACAACAGAATAAATCCCTCTCAAAAATCACGGGGCTGGGAGAGGACTGACTGATTTGGCAGAGCTGCACAACTTTCACCTTCATCGGCTGGAACATAGCTGGCGGGTGAAGACAAACCTAACTGAGCCAACGGCAAGAACTGCAGGCTATGAGACGACAGGTCAAACACAGAACTGTATAAATTGTGGCACTATAAAGATGAGAAGGCAGGTCCATGATACCAGCTGGAGCAAGGCTTTGGAGCATCGCTTCCAGAAACTCTCTGTCCTGTTGTAAGTGGGAGCATCCAGACACATCAGTGGTTCTCCTTCCTCCTCTTCCAATAAATTCTGAATGTTTCTCATTTAAATTACTATGTACACACACAAAGCTGGTCTCTCTTTTACATGAGGGTCCTTCGTTGAGGGTCCTTCAATGGCTTTAGAGAGCTGGTTCCAATTGCCTTTTTGGAGATTTACTGCTTGGGACCAAACCTGCAAAGAGAAGAAATACCAGCTCTATAAGAGGAAGATCTTTAAATGAAAACATCTTGGGCATTTAAGGGACTGAATCTTCATATAAATAATGAAACTCCCTTCTTTTTGGGGCCTAGTTACTGGTAAAATAGAATACGTGGACAGGAAGCCATCAGTCTGTGCCTGGTTCCCCTGTTAGCCAGAAGGTCATATGCCCACCAACAATCCTGTAGAAGAGCTCCATACCTCCCTCTGATAAGGACAGTTTCTCAAGTTCAGCTTCAAGTTCAGCATCCGAGATCCTAGGGTTAGGCACACTGTTGGTATAAAGCGTCTCGTGGGGGTTGTCAGGCAGGTCCAAAGGTTCTTTGGTGGTGTCCTGAAGGAGGATGTCCAATTCCTTCTCCAGTTCCTCACTGTCAAAATCTGGGAAGAATAGACAATATAAGAATATGATAACTCTGGGAGGGAATGCATTCGTGCATTCAGAACTGGGCTTATCAAAACCCAGCTCAGCTTACAAGATACCTCAGCCTCCTTGCAGGTTAAAAGAGTCACATGAATTGGGAGACAGATATGATTTTTCCATACGCAAAGCTAGGTATACTCTGCTAACCCCATGCAATTGACCCACTTCCCCTTATCCTTGAAGAAGGACCTGCCAGTCAGAAGGCTGTGAGTAAGGATCTGTGGATCAGAATAGCTGCTCAAGGATGAAATGGCAATTCTCTCTAACTGCTCCTGGATGACCCCAGAGGGGACTGCCAGCACCAGGAAAAGGGAGTCCATTGTCCTACCTGTCACACCACAAGGAAGCAAAGCCTCTCAGGAAGGAATAAAGGGAAAAAGGAAGGAAGGGGGACCTTATCAGCTTACCTAAACCATTGGTTACCCCACCAGCCAGAGTCTGAGAAACTTCGTCCTGGGTGTCACACAGCTGTAAGACACAAGTGTAAAGCCCTGAACTGGGAATGGTGGCTTAGAGCGTCACAAAGTCTTTAGGGAAAAATGTTTAGGATTACAAAGCATCTGAGAAATCCAGGAAAGGTTCTTCAAGGTCATAAGGTAATGAGGTTAGAAATCTGTCCTCTGAAGCATGTATCCCCCCCGGCCCCTTCCTGTACCTCCTGGATCTGATCCACGAGGCTCTCTGCCTTCTCCACTGTGACATCCTTCATGGAGAGCTTGAGGGCTCCCACCCCCGCCTGGTAGGCATTGAAAACCTAAAGAGAAGACCAAGCTATCAGTGCAAATGACAAACACTTGACAAAATACAGACAATACTTCTTCATCACCCAAGAGTGCTTTGGGGTTTTTCTGGCCACCCACTTAGGCCAAACTTCTGGACTGGGAAGGCAAAGGCAACCCTGGCCACACCCACAGAGAAGCCAGGTCTCTTCCCAACAGCATGGCCCTGGGGTGAGGATGAGCAGCGTGTGCCAGAGACCAGCCAGGTGCTGGTGCGGAGGGGATGTGGCTACCATCTGATCTGTCTGGGAGGCATAGATGCGGTCCAGGATGCCTTGAACAGTGTCCAGCTTGGCATGTAGGGCTTCAATGCGTTTCTCTGTCCGTTGCTTGGCCTTGAGAGACCTCAGTGCCTAGGAGACATGAAGACTTAGGTCAGGCTAGATGTGGCAGGTCAAAGGGCGAGAGACAGAGGGCCCCTCGCAGATCTTCCCAGGCCTACTGCTGTCTCGTTTATAAAACAGGCAGACCCTGTTCTCCTGACCCCAAGCATGCTGCGCTGTGAGCTGCTGGCACCTCTTGCTGCCAGCCTCAGATGCTGCCACGCAGGTGGAGGGGTCAGAACTCACCAACTGCTTCTTTCCTGCTCGGCATGCCCGGCGGGCTTCCTCTTTACACCTAGGAAGCAAAGGACAAATGAAAGGATTGTGCCACAGGACAGGTGGTGTGGTCCTGAAGAGTCCCTAAGAAGAGAACTGAGTGAAACTGATCTCAGATCTGAAGATCAAATCCCCATGGCCAGAACTATGGTGCCCAGCAGCCCCCTGCCAAACTCTGAGAGCAAATCAAGATGCAGCAGGTGTGTGTGGAAAGCAAGATGACCAAGGAGAAGCTGAAGCCCTCAGGGAGAAAACGTGTGAACATGTCGGGAGATGCAACCTAGGATGCATGCCTCCGCCTCCCCCCATGCCTACTTTTCTCTCACTGAGGCACAGAGTCACGGCTCTAACTCAATGTCTGTCTGTCCTCCTTTTAGGTGGGTGTCTGTTACGAGGGACCCCTGTACAGGTATCCCAGGGAGGGAGTAGGAGTCCCTCAGGGGAACCTCCACAAAGGCACAGACTTATCTTGCTCACCCACGTGTCCCATACCCTAAGATGATGCCAGCTGGATAAACGCCGGCTAACAGAACTCGGGCATGGAGAGGCATAAATAAGACATTAACAGTTACAATCTTTGGGGGAGGAACTGACTTATATTTCTCTCCTTGTGATACTCTGTGTTTTTTAAGTTTTTGCATTGAGCAATTAGTGCTTTTGTCATCAGTCAATAAATAACTAGGTTTTCTTTGCAAAGAGCCCCAAGACACCAATGTTCCAGGGCTCCACACCTGGCCCAGCCCTGCCTGGCTCAGGGAGTTACCTCTCGGCTTCCTGGGATAAGGACTCCACCTTTCGTGAGAGAAGCTGCTCACTCTGCATCAGCTGGTAGACCCCGACATCTACATCGTTGACAGGAGACACCTTGGCATGTGGCCCCCGGGCAAACTTCACAATCTGGAGACAGAGACAAATTACTGCAGCCCTTAGACACATGCTAAGAAATTTCCAAGCAGTCAGGGGGTGGGCATGTGCATGCAGATGAATGGATGCTCTTCCCTACCTTCTCCCCATTCTGCTCGAGGACAGTGACTCTCTTCTCCTTCTGCAGTTGCAGCAACACCAAGTAGAAGGTCCTCTCGTCTGGGCAGGAATTAGCACAGAGGGTGCTCAGCTCTGACAGGGCCACCACAGGGTGGGAGGAGAGGGGCGAGTGCTGGTACAGGCGGTAAACCTCCTCAGCCTTTTCCTGCAGGGAGAGCAAAGGGGCCCACAGGCCCTGGTCACTGCCGAAGAGGCAGCACGTGGTGACCCTGAGCTCCAGACCATGAAGACATCAGGCAAGAGCAGGAGGAGCAACCCCACCCCCACAATGTAGGAGAATCTTAAAAAGGAAAAAAGATGTGTGTGGTTTTCAACTTTGGAAGAAAGTTGGTGACTATATGAATGAAATGAGGCACATGAAACTGCTGGCACTTCCACCTGACACTTTACATTTCTGCTTCTCCCTGGTACTGTGGCTCCTCCAGTGAGGAATGGCGGTGGGAACTATGACAGAATGAGCCCTGAACTAGAGCTGAGCCCGACTTTCAGCCAGGCTGTGCGACTCTCACTGGTCATCAGCATCCCTTTCACACACCAAAGAGGGTGGATGAGATGATGCCCAAACCCCCTCCCATTCTAGTCTCTCCATTTTATCCCAACTGGAAATACTGCAACCAAACACAAATGCCACTGAGCCCATAGTCTTAAGGGAACAGTGGGTGAACAGGACGGAGACAATCAGTGAAAAGACTAAGAAATACAAGTTCCAAGAAAAAAAAAAGTCACTGTTTCTAGATGGGACAATTACTTCTTTAAACAAGTATTTGCTGATATATGTGTAGGGTGCTATGAAAATACAGAGAAGGAAATCTGGAGATTTGGAAATTTATTTTTTGGTACTGGGGATTGAGCCCAGATGCATTTTACCACTAAGCCACATCCCCAGTCCTTTTTATTTTGAGACAGGTCTCACTAAGTTGCTAAGGCTGGCCTTGAACTTGCAATCCTCCTGCCCCAGCCTTCTGAGTTGCTGTGATTACAGAGTGTGCCACTGCACCTGGCTGGAGGTTTCCTTTTAAAAAACTCTTGAGCAGAAGCTGAAAGGTGAGTAATCCCAAGGTGAAGTAGGTGGAGGGATACCTCAGGCAGCAACCATGAGCAAAGAAGTGTTGATGGGCTGTGTGTTCTTGTCTGGAGGAGAAGGCAGCGAGGGCAGAAGCACTTCTTTGCTATGCAGATAGAGTATCTTACACACCGTCCTTTGCTCTGCCAGTGATAGGCAGTCGCAGGACTGTCATGACTAGAGCAATGGAGCCAGCTGACAACTGAGAAGGACAGACTGTAGATTCAGGGTTAGAGGCTGGGAGAACATTGACACAAAGGAAGACGTGGGGCTGAAACATGTGGTAAACAGGGAAAGAGAAGAGGTAGATTCAAGCAAAATTTAAAAGAAAAAACTGGCAGTTCATGGTAACTAAGTACAGAAGGAAGAGGCCTAGGTTCCAACTTGAGTAACTGGTAGATGGGATGCTATTAACTAATAGCAAAAATTCAGGAAGGAAAGCCTATTTTAAAGGAAAGATAAAACATACCATTTTGGATATGTCTGGATGCCTGAGGGGTATCTAGGAAGATACATACAGCAGATAATGGGACATACAATCTGAAGCCCAGAGGAAACAGCAGGGGGACCAGGACAGCACAGAGAACGCTCAAAGTCCTCAGCACACAGCAGTAATCAAGATCCCAGGGTAAGTAAGACTACCCAAGGACACTCAGGGAGGAAAGTAACGAGCTGAAGAAGACCAACGGTCAAGGGTCAAGCCGTGAAGCGACCCACTACAGACCTAGCAGGGCTTCTTAGAAAGAAACAAGGAGCACCTGTGGTGTAAAGAACAGATTCAAGAAAAAGGGAAATTTTAAGAAAATGGTCAACAGCATCAAAGATAGAAGAAGAGTTTTTAGACAGAAAGTAAACTTTTCATTAGATTTGACTGTCCCAGAAGATAATAACCCTACAAAGCTACCGTGATAAGGAGTTTGGTGTCCATATATAAATCAATTAATGGTATACAGCATTAAAGGTACTAGAAAACTGCCTATTTGGAAAAACAAAGGGCTTTTCCTCACCATTCAGACAAAAAAAAAAAAAAAACCTCAAGTGTTGAAATCTAAACTGAAAAACAGTATAAAGTAATTAAAATAAAATATAAAAGAATATCTGATTAAGTTTGAGGCAAAAGATGCCTTCCTAAGCAGCAGACAGAATGGAAAATGTAAGAGCTCTAACTGCAGAAATATAAAAACTTGTGGATGATAAAAGTTTTAACAGTAATGTGGTTCTACCAAGTCTGAAGATTTATTTTTCTACCATAAATTAAAGGTAAGCAACAGACTGGGAAACAATATTTACATCCCTAATGCCAAATGTGTTTTAGGTATCTATCTCCAATACACAAAGAACTATAATTCAGGAAAAAAGACAAAACAATGTAACATAAAAAGGCAAAGGATATATGTGGGCGATTCACACAAGAAGTCAGTGGCTAGTAGACAGGTAAAGAGATGCTCAACTCACAAAGAGGAAGTAATTCTTTAAAATATTTATTTTTTAGTTGTAGTTGGACAAAATACCTTTACTTATTTATTTTTATGGGTGCTGAGGATCGAACCCAGGGCCTTGCATGTGCTAGGCAAGCACTCTACCGCTGAGCCACAACCCCAGCCCGAGGAAGTAATTTTGAAGGATTAATGTTACCCAGTGCTGATAAGAATGTGGGGAGACTGAGCTAAGACACTCTTGATCAAAGTTTAAATTACTACAAACTTAAAAAGTAATTGGACAATTTTTGTTAAAAAAGTAAAAAGTATGCATGCACTTCTAGAAATCCATTCTATGAAAATAAAAGTGCAGGTACACCAGATGTACACATAAGGCTGTCAAAGTGCATTTATTTTAATGGAAAAATGGAGAAAGAACTTGGAATAACTTACATGTCCACCTGTGGGGAAAGTATTACATAATGTGTAGCATATTACTACAATGATTTCAGAGCCATCAAAAAGAATGAAGTGGATCCATATTGTGTAGGACCTGGAAAGATGCTCATGGTATACTAAAGTGAAAAGAAGAAAAGCCAGGTGCAGACCAACTTCATTTCCAGGAAAAAATAAATGGAGTGAATATATACACATTCATTCATTCAACCAATATTTATTGACTGTCTACTATGCACCAGTCACAGTTCCAGGGTCCCGGAGAGTCTCCCTTCTAGTAGGAGAGTCAAGTGATAAACAAGTGAAAAAGTAAGGTTTTCCAGTTAGTGCTAAACTAACTCGGAAAAACAATACAGAGAGTAACAGAATCAATAAGACATATGTCTATAAGCACACACACAAACAAAGGAGAAAAGAACACGCCCAAAGAGACAGAAATGCAATGAACAAGAGGAAACTGTCAATTCCATGTACAGTTTTTTAAACAGCAAAGTCATGGGCAATTTTCACTTTTTTGTATTTTTTCAGCACTGTTTCAAAGAAAGTAAAAATTTACCCACTGTTTTCCATACCTGGACCTGGGAAAAAGCAATCTCCCTCATGAGCAGGGTTTCTTTCCATATCTAGACCCTTCTAAATCCAGATAAACCCCTTTCATTTCACAAATGTAAACAAGTCCCCATCCCCCAAGAGAAAACAGGAGTCATCATGAATATGAAAGCAGATGTCATCGAATGAGACGTAAAGTAATGTTGAGTGATGTGAAATGGACACACAATTAACAGTACTGTGGTTCTACAGAGTCTGAAGATTTATTTTTCTACCTAAATAGCTCTGAAAAATTACCGTAAGTTCTGAGAGAACTATGTTCTTCCCTATCCACCCCCATTCTTCACCTTTGCCCTCAAAAAGATTAGGACTCCAAAACCGTATCTGCGGAGCTCAGTGGATGCACCTCTGCTTGCTCCAGGTTGGAGAACATATGGGGTAAAGGCCTGAAAAGAGGACCTAAGCTTGGCCCAGAAACACCAATGCACCCTGCAGTCTCCATGGGGACAATGACTGAGGCCTGGGGAGGAGGCACCTGAGGCAAGAGAGCCTGAGGCAGGGGAGGGGTGAAGAAAATGTGGGCTGCACAGTAGAAAGTCACAAAGGACAGGGAAGACTGCTAGATTTCGGGATTTCCCCTCAGCATGAGGCAGACATCACAGGGGTCTGGTCAAGATGAGGGGAAATGGATGCTTCTCCTGGGATGGAGGTGGGGAATAGGGATTCTGCTGGCTCCAGCTGTGTGGAAACCTCCAGAGACTTGCAAAGGCTCTGAAGCTGGGCTTGAGTTTCAAAAATAAACCACGAGGGCAGCACACTTTCGTTACCTGGTGTTCAGTTAACTCTGTAACACAAACAAACTTAAAGGTTCCCACAACCTTGTCCATAGCAGTTTTGGCAAGAACAGGGATCATAAAAGAACCAATCTGTGATGGGAAAAGCTTGGTGGGTTTGGCAAATAAAGAAGGAGAGCATCAAAAGAGAAGGTGACGGAATATACAGAGCAAGTAGCTGACTGACGAGACACGTGACAAGAGGGGTAGGCAAAGACTCAAGGGCATGTGTGAACAGAGGAAGGCCACTTCCCCTCAGAGTGTAGGAGACAGAGGGCTTGGGAGGTTAAACTTGAGGAGGAAGAACAGAACACTGAAGCCCTGGGTGAAGAGTCCACAGAGTCGAAGGGCAAAGGATGGATGGGGAGCACTGGGGGGGGGGGGATGGGAGGGACCAAGAAAACTGGGCTGTAGAATGGCTTTGAGGGTGTCCCTACAGCTGGGGACCATGAATGGGGCCCCATCAGGGTGACAAGGACAGTGGGGCTGACTTAAGGCTGTGGATCTGCTGTGTGACTCCTGGTGTGGAACAAGAGTTGCTGCGGACACTGAGATGGCATTAGTTGGGCACTCAGTGTGGTTTGGCCTAGAGGCAAGAGTGGCCCAGGAGGAAGCTGCTGAGCGGGAGTCAAGAGGGCTCCAGGCACTGGCTGACTCTTGAGGGAGAGGAGCAGGATGGTGCAGGGGGCGCAGGGCAAGCCATGAGTAAGCTGGAAGCGGAAATGAGGAGATGCAGGGTGGGAAAGTAGAGCTAGTTTGCTGATTAGGGGTAAGCAAAATTGGAACTCACAGGGTTCTCAGAAATCCAGGGAATTTCTTGTCAGCAAACTACAAAAGGCAAAGCATTTCGTAAACTGTAGTTTATTGTTAATCCCTACAAATACCACAGCAATCGACTACTTGTTACTGACAATTCTTAGACAAAGTGTCATCCTTGAAACATAATAGTCTAACAAATACATAATGCTACCAAGTACAGGGCACTGGAAGTCAGGGAAACTCAGGTATCAACTCTGTCACCAGCTTAAAAAAAGACAGTCTTCTCCTAAGAATGTATGTGCAGGCTCCTGCCCCAGGTCTCTCCCTCTTGCATACGTACCTTGAGAAGCTCCACGGCCACAAGTACCTCCTCAGTTGGAAACTTGTTATCCCCCAGCATGTTAGAAAGAGTCCACTTGAGGGGCTTCAGCAGGAAGACTCCAACCCCCCAGGAGATCCAGCTGCTGTCCACACTGGCCATGAAATCTGACTCACGCTGCAGCTCCCCTCGACTGCAAGGAGAGAAGAAAATCATGAAGTAGCACTTCACGCAATGTTCCATTCCAGTCCCTAGTGGCCCCATAACCCACAAAGTGGAATTTTATCATCATCATAATGACCTTTTATTAGATGTCTACTCCGTGCAGCTACTGGAAGCAGCACTGTTTCTATTCCAGGGCTAGGCCTCACAACACTCTGCAGATAGATAGTGTCATCAGCATTTTAACTAATGAGGAAACTGAGGGTCTGAGACGGTAAGGAGAAAGTCAAATGGAAGCCATGATTTGTCTGGCTCCAGAAAACAAGCGCTTCACTGAGACTCCAGAGTCACAGGGAGCTACTGGGCCTGCACTGAGAGTTCCTTTCACAAACAGCTCAAAACAATCAAACGAAAACAATAATGATCACTGTCAAATGCAAAACAGAAGGAAGAAAACAATGATATACAGGGACAGGGCTTTCTGCTAGCTCTAAGCTAAGGTGGAAATGAGATGTGTTTCTTGGTACTGGTAACATAACAGCTGCTAAATTCACTGAACACTTGCCATGGTCAGTTGGATTTGAGCCCAACTGTCTGACCCTCAAGCAAAGTTAATTCCTATACTATGCTGCTTCCATGGGGAAATATCTCCCTCAGAATTTCTTCAGGTGTCAGACCCAATCAGGCACCAGGCAGCTTCAATCAGCAGTCAAAAGAGGGGGGCGCATCAAGATGTCAAAGGTCTCTGGACAGGAAGAGTTAGATGATTGTCCTTCTATTGTAGGAGGACCATTCTGGTCATATCCCTCAATGACTTCCTCAGCTACTGTCTGCACTGTTCTCCACTTTAGGCATGAAGCAAAATGTTTTCCACACCACTTTTTTTTTTTAAAGAGAATTTCAGAAAGACCTGCACATCAAGGTTGGCTAAGGAATGGTACTGGGAACAGGGGAAGGGAGACTGCTTGATCAGAAAGTGCAGCAAACTAAAAATGCATATCAGAGTTGACTTTCTCCTTTCTTTCACGGAGGGAGGATCCATGATAGGCTGCCTGGTCTAAGTATACATAAGGTGAAGTACAAATGATTTAAAATGTGAAGATCAGGGGTTCAGTCCTCTGTGTGTGTCCTAGCTGTGTGACTCTGAGTTCCTCAATCTCTATGACTCAATTTCCAAGATTCTTTGATGAGTATAATTATATCATCTTGCTGTAAGGCTCTTGAGATGGTCAGGTGAAATGGAATATGTAAAGTATCTGCATACCGTGAAGTGCTGTGCACCTACTAGAACTTAAGAATGTCACCTCCTCAGGTACCTCCAAAACACTGTGCCTGTCACACACTTATCGCCTACAGACCTCTTCAAGACCCTAGATATTCAGTGAAATCCTCACTCTCCTTTATGTCCTCTCTGTTCCAGTCTGTGCTGGGACAGGCCAGACACATGACCTGTGCCGGGGTTTGCTGGCAAGATCCCTAAAACCCTCTTCTCCATGAATTCTCTCTGCTTAGCTTTGACCTTCCTTGTTCAATGAATCCTGTTTCCTAGACCTTCGCTTCAGGGGTAACTCAATTTTGGAGGCCTTTAGGAAATAACTACCTAACGGGATTCCAGCCCTGACAAGTCATTGTCACCTCTGGTAGGCTGGTTTCTCATCTGAAACCCATCTTATCGGACTTCCCCGGCCTCTCGAAATCCCCCAGACCCTTATTCCTCTCCCTCCAAACATCCCCTCGCCCAGCCTTCTCCTTGTCTTCCTCCACTAACCGTACAGTGGGCGCCTACTCTGGGCCAGACCCCGAGCAGGGCGCGGTGCGCTGTCGAAGACAGGACCGGGTCCCGGGCCTCGGGGAGCCGCCCCCAGCCCGCCCCGCCCGCCCCGCCGCGGCCCGACCCGCCCCTCACCGCAGCAGGTCCTGCAGCACCGTGGCCAGCCCCAGCGGGACGCTGCCCTTGCGCTGAAAGGCCTCCTGCAAGTCCCGAAGACGCAGGCGCACCACCCCCTGGCGGCGGCTGTGGCTCAGCACCAACGGCGCCCAGAAGCCCATCTTGCTGTCCCAGTCGGTGCTGTTCACCTCGCGACTCCTCTTGAAGGCTGAGAACAGGAAGGACATACGCTCCTCATCCTCCTCCCACTCGGGGGGCAGAAGGCCCGCCGGGTCTCCCCCGGCCGGGGCCTCGGCCTCCCGCTCCGGGGACCACATCGGAACCTCAGCCCCGCCAAGGATCCGAACACAACCCCGGCCCAGGTCCCCTTCCGCCCTAGTTCCCTCCCGGCTTCCGTTCCTGGACTACCTCCTGCTCTGTCGTCACGTCACCGCCGCCCCCAACGTGAAATAAGTCCTGAAGAGACTCACGGCGCAGGCGTCGCTCAGTCCTCCCTTGGCCAGGAGGCGGGATGATGACGTTATCTTCGGAGAGACGCAAAGCGCTTGCGCCGATTCCTCCTTCCATGGTCTTTGTGCGGAAAGAAGGGCCTTGCGCAAGCGTAGTAATCACAGCGTCGGGCAAGCGAAAGTCGCCCCCACAGAAGGAGGGTTGCAGGTTTCAGGCACCTGGACTCCTGCCCGCGCCGGAGCCGCCAGGATCGGTTGTGGATCTCCAGCTGCGGATCTCGGGGTACCGCTCCCCGCCGGCAGTTCTTGCTTAGACCTTTCATGGTATTAGCGGATAAACAGAACTGTGTGTCACTTGAGCTCTGTGACAGAACGCACGCTCGTTTCTAGAGATGTTTGAAGTTCTGCCGCACTTGCTCCGGAGTGTGTCTGCATCCTACGGATCCTTTAGGGTTCGGCCCGATTCTGACTCTTCCCGGACACCTCCCTCTGTTAAGCTCTGCGGTTCCCCGCCTCGTTCCCCCAGCACAGGACAGGACTCAGAGCTCGCTCACCCCGCACTGAAGAAAGTACTCCAGAAACTTCAAGATGCATAACTTAAATCTTGCCCTTCAGATACTTTCTAATCTTGCTAGAATGAGGACTCATATATAGGATAAGATTCTCATAAAGAATCTGCTCATTGTTGAATAAAGTGTGTTTTTTTTTTTTTTTAGTTGTAATCAACTGTTTTATTTAAAGTTTTACTAACTGTAATGTACTTTAACAGAAAATCCCTGGAGGTCTAATAGGTTTAGACTATTTCTGAAGGAGAAAACAAAAACAAAGAAAAAAAAAAAAAGCAAAAACAACAAAAAACCCCAAGACATCTCAGATACAGCAGCAAAAACTAACACTTGTGTAGCACTTTACAATTCACAAAATGCTTTCCACATACATTATCTCATTAAACCCTCACAACAGCCCTGTGAGGTTAAAGTGTGGTTTTTGGTTTTGATTTTGTTGGGGATGGGAACCCAGGGCCTCCCACATGCTAAGCCAGTGCTCTACTCCTGAGCTATGAAATTGTTTCTCCTTTAAAAGAACCATTTAAAAGGTGAAGGGAAGCTGGGCATATGCTGCAGCGCACCAGTAATCCCAGCGGCTCGGGAGGCTGAGGCAGGAGGATGACTAATTCAAAGCCAGCCTCAGCGATTTAGTCAGGCCCTTGGCGACTCAGCGAGAGCCTGCCTCTAATGGATGTAGCTCAGTGGTTAAGCACCCCTGGGTTCAATCATGGTACTAAATAAAGTGACGCGAATTTTCTGTTACTTCCTGTTGCAGAACCTCCACGATAATGAAAGGAAACTATCTCTGCAGGATATAAATATCTCACCTTAACTTTCCAAGTCAGCTTCCTTTTACATAAGATAATATTTTCTCTAAGATCATGTGAAGAAAATGTTATGATGTACTGTGTAGCATGTAGATAGTAATCATGACTGAATTTCAGACTTTGTAGTAGTTGGAACTCAGTATGCGGATGAATTTGAATAGACATTTTGAGGGAGAAGGAATATAATTGGGTTATTAAACAAACATTGTGTGTCAACTGATTTCTATGTATTGTTATCTTTCTCTAAGCACTTTCACATCTGAATTTAATTTGATACTAAATTAAATTCATTTAATACTACCTAACAAGTTCTTTCTCAGCTCAAGGTTTCTACCCACTATACTTTCCCTCTACTCTGCCTGACTGCCTTTTTTCATACTTTAGGTCACAGTTAAAAATCCCTTTTTCAGGCCAGTTGTTATCCCAGTGGCTCTGGAGGCTGAGACAGTAGGATCACAAGTTCCAGGGCAGCATTAGCAACTTAGTGAGAACTTCAACAGCTTAGAGAAACCCTGTCGTGGAATAAAAAATAAAATTAATTTAAAAAAATAGATAAAGTCTAGGCCCAGCAGCTCAGGAGGCTGAGGCAGGAGGATTGCCAGTTCAAAGCCAGCCTCAGCAAAAAGCGAGGTGCAAAGCAACTCAGCAAGACCCTGACCCTGTCTCTAAATAAAAACTAGGGTTGGGGATGTGGCTCAGTGGTCTATAGGCCCTGGGTTTTATCCCTGATACCCCACCACCACCAAAACAAAAAACAGACTAGGCATGTAGCTCTGTGGTTAAGCACCCTGGGTTCAATAAAAAAATAAAAATAAGTCACTCCCTCAGAAAGACCTTATCTGAACCCTCTATCTAAAATAGCACCCTTGGAATTTTATAATGGATGGATTGGTTTGGTAACACCTGCTGATTAGTTGTAACATTCCCCAAAGAATGACAATCAGATATCATGTGCCTCCTGGAGTACAGTAGAAAGCAGGCAGAACATCTAGAGTGTTTTTGTCAAAGTGAAACTGAACCTGATTAAGCCACAAAATATTCATAAGTACTGCCAACCCCAGTATGAGTGTTAATCCAGAAACTGGCGAGGGGAAGTGGGGAGTCAATAAAAACAAACAGAAAGTTGGGGCAGGGTGGGACATCCCACGCTGATAGAGATATAATGACTCAGAGCCAGCTCAGCACATTCATTATACAGGTTTTATCATCAAAAGGGTTTTCTGTCAGAAAGCTTCTTCAAAGCAAGCAAGCTGAAGGATGAACTCTAGCGGTCAATTATAATTACCAACTTTCACTCATAACTCTCTACCCCTGGCAGCTGGCATCTGAACTCAGGGTCAAGACTGATAATCCCGTGCCTAAGCACAGAATCTCCTTTATGCAGGGGGTCACCATAGCAGCTGGGCAGTCTTGACCTGCATCTTTGCACAGGAAGTTCCCAATACGGGCGCAGCTCTTGCTGTAGAACAATCAGAGACTATGATTCAAATCTCTGCTCTGGACAAAATACTAGTTTATAGAAGTTAAAAAGAAATCAAATGATAGGGGAACATGTTAAATTAAAACTGAGGTCATTATCAGCAACCTCCAGACTGGGAAAAATTACTTGATATTGACCTTGTTTCCACAAAAGATCATATCAACAAAGAGGCTTTGGATGTTCAATGAGTAACATCCTGTTTACACAGAGAAGAATAATAATTCATCTGTAGACAAATATTAACTATATCGTTGATTATACCAGTGAATTGTTTTGAAAGCAATGGTTACATCTTATTGAAAGTCTTTCTATATGTTTTGGTCAGAAGCAGTGGCGCACACCTGTAATTCACATGATTTAGGAGGCTGAGACAGGAGGATCACAAGTCGGAGGCCAGCCTACAGAACTTAGCAAGGCTCTGTCTTAAAATACAATACAAAGGACTGGGGAAGTAGCTCAGTGTGTGAGGCTCTGGGTTCAATCCCCAGTACCATACACGCATGTTCATGAAGTCTGAAGTCTTTATATTTTGAAGACAGACCTGAAGTATTTGTGGGTAAAACTCTATATTTGTGGCAAGGGGATGGGTGGGCTGAGAGTAGAGAAATATCAGTGATTGTACATTTCATACTTTTTCCCCCTTTTATAGTAGTGGGGATTGAACTCAGGGTATTCTACCACTGAGCTACATCCCCAACCCTTTTGATTTTTAATTTTGAAACAGGATCTCACTAGGTTGCCCAGACAGGCCTTGAATTTGTGGTCTCCTGTCTCAGCCTCCTGAGTCACTAGGATCATAGGCAAGTGTCACCATACCTAGTTTCTCTTGCTTCCAAGTCACAGAAAGCTGTTGCTATCAACATGCTTCTAGATCATGATCTAGAATGCCCCAGTGACCATCTATAAAGTTGACTGACACATTTCATGGACAATTGAAGGAATTTACCCTTTTTAAATTTCACCATCTTCTTCCCACTCTTTCAAATAGCACTCTATTTCCAGTACAGCACAACATGATAGAACCTTGGAAGTCATCTCTTCATTCCAACACAAGTAAAAAACTGGAAAAAACTAAAATTAAACAACTTTTCTTAGATTCATCAAGGAACCAAAGTAAAGGAGGCAGACTACTGTCTCCCAATCTGGAGGACTAAACTCAGGAGCATGCTACCACTGAGCTACACCTCAACTCTTTTGATTTTTAATTTTGAGGTAGAGTCTCACTGAGTTGCTCACACTGGCCTCAAACTTGTGATCCTCCTGCCTCAGCCTCCCGAATCACATGGATTACAGGTGTGCATAATGGCAACCAGTTCCCTTGCTTCTTTTTCCATTGCATCACCACACCTTATTCCTCTTGCTTCATTTTTTAAAGAAGTAAAAGTACCCCCAGGAAGCTGTGGCTGTCAACATATACAGAGAATCAAAACAGAGCAAAGACCCACCAGCAAAATCTTTGGTGTGAACCAGGACTAGGGTTGGAAAACCATAGTTGTGAATTGTCAGAGGCTGACAAATATGAGCTTAAAAATACTGGGGAGGGCAGCCTTGGAGTGACCTCAAATGAAGCCCTGAAAGATGCTCACAGTGAAGAGCAAATATTTCCCTTACTTTAGCAGAAAGAAGAGAAAAACACTCGCCCACAACAGTACTCCCCCTCAAACCTAGTGTCTCCCAAATGGAAAGTCAATGTTCTGAAATATGACAGAGCTCTGTTCTTTTTTGTTGTTTATTTGTTTGTTTGGTTTATTTTTTATTTGTTCTTTTTAGATATACACGACAGTAGGGTGGATTTTGACATATTATACATACATAGACTATGTATAAGTACAACTTATTCTAATTAGGACCCCATTCTTGTGTTTGTACATGATGTGGAGTTGCTGGTGGTGTGTCCATATGTGAACACGGGAAAATTATGTCTGATTCATTCTACTGTATTTCCTACTGTCATCCCCCCTCCCATCCCTTTATTCCTCTTTGTCTAATCCAATGAACTTACATTCTTCCCTTACCCCTCCTTATTGTGTGTTAGCATCCACATACCAGAGAAAACATTCAGTCTTTGTTTTTTTAGGATAGGTTTATTT